TAATCATGACTAAAATATAAAAAATATTAGAATGGATTGGAGGTGAATATTGAATAGATAGAAAATGTTTTTTTTTAATAAAGATTAGATTAACAAGTTTATTATTAAAGTTAGTCTAATAAATACACATCAAAAAAATGATGTTACATATTTATCTCGTAAAAGGGATCCTAAAATATTTGCAAAAATTTATTTATAGAGTCTAAAGTAAAAATTTTGTGAATTGGTTTTCCAAAGCAAAAATTAATTCAAAGTTAGTTTAGTTTTGATGTAAATTTTTTGAAAAGAAAAAGAAAAAGAAATGATGAATGTAGAGGATGTCTAAATAACATGTAAGAGATTCAGAACTTAATAATGTACAAGAACATCTCCAGTAATAAAAATAATGACACTTGAAAACCGCTTGATGAAAAGATTAATTATTAGAGTAATAACTTGAAGAAAAGCTTGACATCCAATAACTTAGCTTGGTGGATGTCAAGTGTTTGAAGATTGAAAGAATATTACATATATTACCTTTAAACCATCATATGTATTTACAATTTTCAGTTTTCAACTTTTAATCAATAATGCTTCATTTATCAAATACATAAATTGAAACTATTACTATTTTTAACAAAATACATTATTGAAAAGTGCTAGTAAAGATACACCAATATCAAATATTAAAAACACAAAAGTAAAATACTTTTGTTTTTAGAAATCATAATTTTAAGTATATATAGTCTATATTTATTGAAAAGTACATATTATCAGGTATAGATTTAGGTTTAGGTCTAGCTTTTCAATATCGTATTGTAATACGTTTATTAAATTCTGAATGTTATTGTTGAATATTATTTGTTTAAAAAAAGCGTATTTGTCCTTAAAATATTGACAAATTATAAGGGTTCTATAGAACAATTTAAATAGATGGAGATAATTTATGTAGATTTATTAAAAATGAAGTGAAAATACAAAAAGGGATTTTGAAAGACCTGACAATTGAAGTAAGTATTTGAATATGAAGTGACTTAACCATCTGTTGATGCTCTAATACATGAAATCTAAGAGGACGTCGTGAGGATCAGTTGGGAGGAAACTGAGTTATGAAGAACCAAATTGTAGCATACCAAGATTAGAAAATTTGTAAAAAGAAAAAAGCAAAAGAGGATTGAAGATGGGTTCTCTGACACTTGATTTTATCCTTGTCCCGTTGAAATGTTGTGAAAAGGAATGCAGCATGTGTGAAGCTGCAGATGCCAACACCCAACTCTCCACTCCACTCCACGCACCCCACCCACCAGTACCCATTTTCTTTTCTTTTTTTTTCTTCTCCTCACTTTTTCTTATCCAACAACAATCACAACTTTAAAGAATTAAGAGTTATTGATATTGTATTGATTCCATGGGTCTCATCTCGTATGCAGACAGTAGAATGAATGAAGGGGCTTTAATTAGACTCTAATACTACTACCAATTTAAACAAACATTAGAAATACAACCAAAGGTTTTACGTCAACACACACATCAGCTACCAATAAAAGGTTAGTGATTACAAACCATATTAGAGAAAGGGAAGAGAAAAGCAGCAGCATTCTGAAAGGATTAGGGAGGGTCAACATTATCCAACATCCATCTGTCATCTTCTATCGGTAGTAAGCTTGCTGGTAAGCATTGCCATACCCTCCATAAGCAGCAGGAGGATAGTTCATTGGAGGAGTACCCGGGTATGATAGTGGGGGAGAAAGAGGTGCTGCAGCTTCAGGTGAGTAGGCGCCATAAGGGTTGGTTGGTGGACTCCTGCTTCCATGCCCATAAATTGGGGGTGGGACGGAGTAGCCAGCAGCAGGGTACTGGGTGTGTGACGGAGACCTTACAAACGTCGGTGGTGCTGGAAACGAGGAAACATACGCGTTTGTGATACGGCCTGCCTTTGCAGGTGGCATGGGCCCCACATTGCTGGCTCGTGTTCTTTTGTTTGCGGGACCAACTGCAGCTGGTCTCTTCTTCTCCATCTTCACCTTCTCCAGCTGTTCCAGTCGCTTCTTCAGGTTCTCAGGAGGGAACTCGGCTTCAAGTTTGTATTCTTCAATGCACTTGATGACAGCTCTAAGGGCAGACTGTTCTTTGCGTGCAGCCAAATGCTGTAACCAGTAACATAAGATATGGCACAAAAAGAGAGGAATATATCAGACAGATTGCATCATAATAATTTAAAAAATAGAGAGGTTTATTGCATCGTATTAAAAAATGGAGATGTTTGTTAAAACAAGAACTTAACCCAAGCCTTAAAATACTGTGTCATTTGAACAGTTTATAAATACAGCACAACAAACAAATTGCAAATTTTTTTAATTAACCTAGATATCCAACCCGCTATGCGAGCCGCCTAATTCCAGGACGACCACCCGCTTCGCGGATAGTCCGGTGTCACCGTATTTGAACCTCCATGGCCACAAGAGGATTTTTATTCCTCCTTGAATTCGAACCTGGGACCTCCAGGCACTTTTGACCTTTGGAGCCCAAGCTCAAACCAATCTGACACCACCCTTGTGGTTACAAATTGCAATTACAGTTAATAAGTACAGCACAACAAAAAAATTGCAACTCAACTCCATTTATAAAAGACAGTTTTTTTCCACAAGTCAATGGAAACACAACTAAACAGCCCCCAACACAATGAAAGGGATAAATAAATTCATTAGGGCAAGGGTTAATCTTCTTCCACCACAAGATGATCTAAACCTTAAGAATTTGATCTTTTAATGATGTGGAAAAATATATGATGATAAGGAAATGTAACACATACATGTATACCAACAAAGAAACATAGCTACTTTTCCAAGCACACCAAAGCAATCAAAATCATAAACTGGGATGCCAAAGAGGCACAAACGTAGATAACTAGTGATATATGCATGTATATCCACAGGTAATTTGATAAGAAAACAAGTAAACGATACCACAGCACGGCCAGAATTGTTGGGATCTTCCAGAATAGATGTTGCAGCCTTTTTAGCATCCTTTAGAAAAGCTTTTAGCAAGCAAACGGGGGAAAACCTGTCTACAAGGCCAGCTTCTTGAGTAAAATGCACAGCATCAACCTGTTGTCCCCTACTAATTAATTCTTCAATCATATCTGCATTAAAAGATCAAGGAACACTTGGGTAAGTTTTAGGTATTTAGGATGGTTCTCTGGAAAATAAAAATTCAAAGTAACAAAGAGTTTCGCAGTTAGAGAACAAAAGAAATAGAATTAAGGGAAACGAGTGAAGGACAAAGTAATCCCTCAACAGACTACCATCATTAAATTTCAGATAAATTCTATATTACAAAGGTCTAGAATTCAGATATCATAGACTGAGATGGTCGACGATCATATGGACAACATCATAAAACACAGAAACGCAAACATTCTAGTTTCAAGTGTTAACCTGCATGTGCCATTTTTTTGTGCTCAAGCAAAATGAATGAATGATGATAGCAGTTGGAACAAGCAGATATTAGGAGGTTTAGCACATGCAAAGGTAATAACTACGAGAAGTATGCACCACAGCTAGTGACAACAGAACTCAACTTGATGAGCATAGTACACCTGATTTCATTAATCATTTTCTTTTCAGCAAAAGAAATGACAAAAACACTGAGAAAATCCCATATTGAAGGTTTGCCTGAAAAGTTTATGCTATGAGCAAACACAACTCATGCACACATACCTTATAATCCACCTTAACAATCTATAATGAGCCTGAGGACATGTTAGTACATAGAAAAGCTACTTCACAGAGTGGGACAAACCACAAAGGCATAATAATCTTCACAAAAGCCATGAAAACAAAACCAACAAAGAGTTCAGAATCCATTATAAATGCTACCAAACAACTGTGATCATTCATAATGTTAAACACTTGAAAATAGTACTCAAGAAGCGTAAATTCATGCAAAGAATGAAATTTCAAAAGGACCATGCACTAATGTGCAAAAAGAGAGAATATTAAAAACTACCATCTGCAGGAAGAGATGATTTACAGAGGTTATTGTCCAAACTAGCAAGATACCTACATCGAACCCCAGATAAATTTCCTCAATATGGGCATCAACGGAATTATCTTTGTCAATACTTTATTTCTAAAACTGAATTCTAGATATATGTTCTTCACTATCAGAGACGTAAAATAAGCCTTCTAGCACTTGCATTCGCAAGAATTTTGTTCTAAAGGAACTTATGGTAGCCATTTCATCGTGGCTTGCATCAAAGCTCAAGTCTATCCCCAACACCAAATTAACAACACAAAATAACATTAAAATTTAAACAAGAAAACGAACTGAAAGAGGAAATGAAAAATATACCGGGCATTTTATCACCGAGCCCAATAGAGACAGCAAGTTTAGGCATCTGTTTACGCCAAGCTGAACCAACAACAAGCTTCCTATACAAGTCAAGATCCTCATCCTTCACAATTCCAAAAGTTACCAAATGCTGAAAGAAGGTATGGACGTCAGGAGCCTTCATGTTCTCAATGCCACCGCGCTGGTCCAAACTTTCCTTCCACGTCTCAGCAATCTCCTTGGCGCTCTTCTTCACACTGGGCGTCACCAAAACCCGAGAGTTCCCCAGTATAGGATCCACCATCACGGGAATCAAACTCTCCAGTATCAAAACACAAGCCCAACTCAAATCATTGACGCACTCCGTCCTCTTGTCCACAGGAAAAACCTCCGAAATCGCCTCCAACACAAACCTAGCGGGATCTGCGCACTCGGCTAGAGCCAACGGAATTTGAGCTCGCATCTCGTCCATTTCCTTCTTCCTGCTAGCTACAAACCCCCAAAACCCTAACGAATCCATCTTGACACAAAACGACTTCAACCTCAACAGTAAACCCTCAGAATCGTCAACTTCGGGATTATCTTCACCGTCATCGCATCGGCTGGTCCCGGCTGCAGCCGCAGCGGCTTGCACGGCAGCTTCAACTTTTTGAAGAGCGATGGAGACGGAGTTTTCGATTGTAGTTTCGCGCTCCTCGAGAGAAAAGAGAGAGGCTTTAGTTTCGGTGTCTAGGATCTTGATCTTTTCCTTGATTGCATCAGATTTCTTTAGGAGGGTTTGCTCGAGAGAAGTAAAGTGATCGGATAGCTCTTTCCAGAGAAGAGTGCAGCTGGTCATGAGTGATGTCTGTCGTTGAAATTCATCGAAGCTCGGCGTCTGAGTTGACTCACCGGGATCGGGGATCGGAATCGAACCCATCTCCTGAAATCGATGTCAAAGATTAAGGCAGCATGGAGGAGAAGAAACCCTAGAAGAGAGAGAGAGAGAGAGAGAGAGAGAGAGAGAGAGAGAGAATTAGTTGGGGATGTTGATGGTGGCGATAAAGGCAGATTGACGGAAGAAGACGGGGAGATGACGTGGCGGCTGAGGTAGTGGGACCAAAAAGGCAAAGGCTGTGAGTGTAATTATGGTACGCCAGGATGCGATGGGGTGCGTAGGATAAGGAGACCGTAGTGAACCAACCGTACGTGTTGAAACAGTCGATTCAATTATTGTTGTGACCGCGTGATGTCTTTTACTTTAAAGGTTCAAAGGCTCGGCACATGATCATCATCTTTACGCTACTTATCCATTCATTATTACGACCTCCTACAATTTTAGTTTTATATCATAATTTCCCCTAAATGTATTAATTCTATCTTTTTTTTTTGTTATAAAAAGACTAAAAGAATATTTGTGAAATGCAATAAGATACATTTCGATTTTAATATTTTATTTTATTCTGTCTTCGTCAATGTTATAATACGATTTTATGTGGTTCAATAGACATCCATATCACATTAGAATTCTATTGGGAATGCAAAGGCCAATAGATCACATTTATAAAAAAATATATATTGTCATCTTAGCAAAAGATGCATCATCATTCATACTATTTACAATTTAGTTGTTGTGAATTTTGTGTTCCGCAACATTATAAATCAAAAACAATTCTAGCTAACTATATGTTATGGAACATGATGTCAAAACAACCCATGAACACTATTTTTCAAAAATGTCTTATAAAAAAGCACGGCAATTTATTTCGAAAACGTCATAAAGTCTCAAAAGTGTCATAAAAACAGGACAATATTTTTCAAAAGTGTTCCAAAAGCACCCTATAAACCTATTTCAACGCTCACACGCGTAAACTTCTGTAACACTCACACATATATGTTTGGTCCTTTAAAATTAAATCAAATAAAAATTTGTTATGACATTTAAAAGAATTGTGGCGTCCTATAACCCTGACATCTTCTAAGACCCATCCTCTTTCAAATCCAAGAATGATAAATACCTGAAGCTGAAGGAGAAGTATAAGAAGATGAAGAACATCCAGCAAAAAGCCAAAGGTCTTATCGCTGAAGAGCACGATTGGGCTGATTCATCTGATGAATCATAATCTGATGAGGAAGATACGGTCTATATCTGCTTAATGGCCAAAGATGTCAAAGAAGAAGCTTTAGAGACATCAACTTCTAATGATCCCTCATCATCCTCACCTGCTCAGATATGTCTCCTGAATGAACCCTCTTCTTCTTCTTCTTCTTCTTCTTCTTCTAGCCTATCAGCATTAGACACATTGACGGTGGATCTTTATAATTCCCTGAATGGAAAATCTAAAGCAGAAATGCTTAATCTTGATCTTCAAGAACAGTTGAAGATTTGTCATTCAAAGATCAAAGAGCTGACTAAGGTTAGAGAAAATCTTAAGGATCATGTTATTGTAAACCAAGTCATCACTGTCGAGCGCCAACATGCTATAGCTGAATATGAGCAAGCAATATCTGAACTCAAGGCTGAGAAGGCTACCATTGGAGGATGGTGCAAAGCCTCTGTCAAGGCCTCAGAGATCATTAACGCTCAGATCCCTGCCAAGATAAAGACTGGTATAGGATTTTCCTATGATCAGGAAGACAGTGTCACTGACAGGTCCATGCTCAAGTTTGGTACATTTGTGTCCTCCATTCCTGACACTTCTTCCTCTTAGTCTTCTTTCACTGAGAGTCATCTTGATGGAACTCCTTCGAGTTCAGGTTGAAAAGACAAGGGTAAATCCATTGTCAAAGCACCTCTTCCCAAGAAGACCAACAAGTCAAATAGATCTAAATCTATCCCTTCAGCTTGTAAATCTTCTTCTTCAGGGACTAAGAAATCTAAACCTTCTCAAAAATCTAAGTCTCAGCTCAAGGTGAATGTTTCACCTAAGGACTCCAAATCCTCAAAAGTTCCTCCTAGGACTAATGAGAAGGAAATCCTTGGAGCTGGTCTCTCTTCAAATCTGGTACTTCCTGGTCCTAAAGCTACTTTAAGCTATAGGAAGTGTAAGCACTGTGGTGAAACTACACACATTGCCAGTAAGTGTTCTTCTGCCGCCAAGGCTGGTCCACCAGCTAAGGGCAAGAAATTAGCTAAGGCTGAGAAATCAACCAAAGCGAAATCAACCACTAAGACTGCTAAAGCAACCAAGGTGAAGAAAACTGTTGATCCTCTCTCTCTCAGTGATTTGATTATAATCCCTTTTATCCTATGCGAAGTATTTATGTTTTCGTCTTTTCAGTTCCAGCAATCTTCACTAAGTCTGTTCAGTGATCGCTGAAGAACTTGTATTGTAAATCCTATCAGCGACAGAGATACTTCAAGAAGACAACACTCACACCAAAGAACCTTCAGCAAAAGTCTAAGACTGAAACTGAAGATTAGAGACTGGTGAGTACGTGATCTGAAGCGGTATTCAGTGATTATAAGCTTGTCTACATATGTGTGAAGACTGGCCAAGCCTCAGCGAATGCTGAAGAGACCTTCAGGTTATTCCAGCATTCAACGATCAAAAAAAGCTTGTTGAGCACGATTGTTGTTCTCTTGTCCTTATACACACAAAGGACAAACCCATACCCTTTCTTAAGGTTAGTACGGTTCAGAGTCGATTAGTTAAATCTATTACCCACCAACTTTATGAAAGAATGTCTGCTCATGAATAGGCTTTTGTACTATTCACTGTAGCAAAAAACAAGTCTTCTCCTTAAGGCTTGACACGCGTTCTAACCTTACCATGTTGCATTAAATGTGCATTTAATGCAACGGGTATAAATAGATGTGTTTTATCTCCATGCAGAGATACACTTACAAAAATCTTACTTTAAGCTTGCTTGCGCTTAAGTAAAAGAACACACATCTAAGAACAAATACGCTCATCTTTAAGAGCAAGTTAGAATCACTTTCATTGTATTCTAAACAAGTTCTCTCCCAGTTAGAACTTACTTTCTTCTATTTTTTAACAGCAAATCTTTAGATTGTTTAGATAGGTTTTTCTTACCTTATCTTTCCGCAAACAATCTTGTAAAATCTGTATTGATCTTCTCTTATCAATATATATGATGAGTCCAGATTTCATACAAACATGGTATGATCTTCATAGATTGTGATGAACATCAAAGTAGAAAGAAGATATTCAAGAAGATGATTAGATTGAGAGGAGAGAGAATATTACATCAGCAAATCTTGATTTTCAGATTAATGACAAAAACTTAATTACAATTACAAGGTAAATCCTATTTATACTAGGAAATGTAAAGACTAAGCTATTACAAGGAAACTATACTAAGGAGAAACTTGAATACAACATTAAGCACTAACTTGAACCCAACATTCTCCCCCTTTGGATTCAAGTTTGGACTCTTGTAAACTTCGTTTTGCGCAGTCCAAGGATTTTCTCTAACCTTCTCAGAGTATTTCTATACTGAATCTTCTCCTCGAGCAAATTGATAGCGTTGACGAGCAAGTATCTTTCTTTGGAATTCATTCGTTCAGATCCAGTAGCCTTTTCGTCCATCACCCTCTTCGAGTCCAGCGCCCTTCTTACAAGCTTAATCATACCGTCAGAATACTTGTTTAACTCACTAAATCTCATGAACTTTTTAACTTGAAGTTGAGCATAGTAGATGACCCCGAACTCTGGATTTTCTAGAACCATGTAAACTGGATAGCCGTCAATGTCTTCAAGATCTGGTTTGGTCTTTTGAGGTTGATAATGTGTTGATTGTCTTCAAGACCCATTTGTACATCTATGACCATTGCCAGCTTTACATGACATCAAATGAATCTTTTGATAGCCTCCAGAGCTACCAGTTCTCCTTCCTTTCTTATTGTCATATTTTTGAGTTCGAAGAACATGTATTCAAGGTCATCCAAATACAAGTTCGAGAAGTCAGCTTCGCTAAACCTCCAAATCTGGCCATCCTGTCTGGTATCAGTGAAGACATGATACCAAATTCTCAAAAGCTTTTGAGCATCTATCTGTTTTATCGTTACAATTCGGTGCTTGGTACGGACTTCACTAACTGGTTGGCACTTGGCTTTTAGAAGGTGACGATATTCAATTCGATACTCTTTTGGCTTCTTATGGATTCCTAGAACTCTGTCAGCACAAAGCAGTTTTCTGTGACGAACGAAAATCCCAAAGTAGATATCTTCTAAATATGGCTCTCGGATTCTATCGCGATCATAACCAAAGAAATTTGCTCTGATATGGAAAGGAACATAGTTCTTTGAGAAGATTTATGTAGGATCAACAGTCTCTTTTGGAACACTGATTTCAGGCGCATTAGGTAGAACAACAGTTGATGATTCTAGAATAGACTGAGGATCACCTTGAATGGGAAAAGCTGGATCTTCTTCTTCTAAATCAGCTTCAAAGTCAAAGTACAATCCAGTTGACTCATCAATGTTCTCAACGTCTTCTCCAAAATCCCGCTCTCCACCCAAAGTAGTAGAGAATGCACTGTTGAACCCTACGTTGGTAGACAAGTCCATTAGCAACCTTGTTTCTACCGTGGAGTCCGCCGGCTTTTCAACCATTGGCTCAATCATTGGACTTGCCTCCACTTTTTCATCTTCAATAATCACAGCCTCAATTATTCTTTTCCAAACTGTTTCCGGGGCAGAACTTTCAACATTTACGTCCTGAGGTAGTGACTCTTCACCCAAACTTGCACCTTGTAGAGATGTCTCAGCCAATCTCTGCTTTTTCCTCTCCCCCTCATGACTATCAGGATCATCCTGATCATCATGTTTTCGTTTAAGAGATTCGGCTTGAGACTTGCAAGTTTCTTCAAGTATAGACACCCTTTCGA